AGCAAAATAGTGCACATATGTAGGTAGTCACCCAGTTACATTTGACAAAAAGTGGTACATGAACAAGTTAAATGGATGGATTTGTAAGTATACAATTTTGAAAGTGCACAGCGTCGCGGCGGTCCGCGTTCCCGCGCCACCCTGCGCCGGGCCGCGTTCGACGTCGCGCTCGCGTCCTTCGCCCCCCCTCCCCTCCCATCCTTTTGCAATTATGCACTACTGTCATTATAATCGTTTAGAAAAAATAATAATAATAAAATGACACTAGTTCACTACTGAAAGCCGGTGGCGAAGAGTTGGTGGGGCGTATGTACCAGCTTTTAAGCAGAATTTGGTCTGATGAATACATGCCCGAAGAATGGAATCTCAGTGTACTTTGCCCAATCCACATGAAGGGAGATCCCGCCGTTTGCGCCAATTATCGCGGAATAAGCCTTCTTAATATTGCATACAAGGTCCTGTCGACGATACTGTGTGAAAGACTGAAGCCGTTCACGAACCAGCTGATTGGACCTTATCAGTGTGGCTTCAGACCTGGTAAGTCCACCATTGACCAGATTTTCACAGCACGTCAAATCCTGGAGAAGACACTAGATAAGCAAATCGACACACACCATCTTTTTGTTGACTTTAAAGCTGCTTTTGAGAGCACGAAGAGGAGCTGCCTGTACGACGCCATGTCCAAATTTGGGATCCCCGCAAAACTAATACGGCTATGTAGAGTGACGTTGAGCACAACCTTCAGCTCCGTCCAAATTGGGAAGGACCTCTCCGCACCGTTTGAGACCAAACGAAGTTTTAGACAAGGCGATTCCCTCTCGTGCGATTTTTTCAATCTGATGCTGGAAAGCGTAATAAGAGCTGTCAATCTGAATGGCAGCGGCACCATATATAGCAAAAGAACGATGCTGCTGGCGTATGCAGATGATATCGATATCGTAGGTCTGAAACAAAGGGACGTAACCGCAGCATTTTCCAGTTTAGAAAAAGAAGCTAAAGAGGTTGGTCAAGCGGTGAACGAGGGAAAGACAAAGTACCTCCAGGCAACATATAAAGAGTCCACGCGCTACGGGACACACGTCACTGTTGGCAGATATAACTTTGAAGTAGTGAAGGACTTTGTCTACCTAGGATCCAGCATAAACACCACCAACAACGTCAGCCTGGAGATCAAGCGAAGAATAACTCTTGCCAACAGGTGCTACTTTGGGCTCGGTAGGCAATTGAAAAGCAGAGCCCTCTCTCGACGAACGAAACTCACGCTCTACAAATCTCTCATCATGTCCGTCCTTTTATATGGCGCAGAATCTTGGACGATGTCGAACAAAGATGAGAAGGCTTTGGGGGCTTTCGAGAGAACTATTCTACGCAAAATCTATGGCCCTGTTTTCGTGGATGGCGGATATCGGAGAAGATGGAATGAGGAACTGTATGAGCTTTTTAACGACATGGACATAGTTAAGTGCATAAAAATACTGCGATTGCGTTGGCTTGGACATGTTGTACGCATGGATGACGACTCTCCGGTGAAAAGATCCTTCGACTCCGCACCCATGGGTGGACAATGAAAGCAAAGGCGGCCACGAACGCAATGGAAGGACCAAATGCAGAAGGACCTGTCTGAGCTCGGGATAACCAACTGGCGCTAATTCGCGCAGGAGAGAAGCAATTGGAGAAGCTTTTTGGTATCGGCCCAAACCGACAAACGGTTGTAGTGCCAAAGAAGAAGAAGAAGAAGAATTCGACAAGTGCTGCTAACTCGTACTCATCCATGTCTTGGAGCTTTTCCGCGTCCATTTCTGCTGCTATGGGCTCAAGTCGGTTGAATAGGGACATTGTTTTCGACTTCAAAAACAACACTCGGTCTGAAGACACTTGCCCACTCGCTGGAGCAATGTTTGATGAATCTTCCCCGATGGCAGTACCATTAGCTGGGCTAAGCGGCATATTGAAGGTGATGTCAGCAACGCAACGAACATAAAGCAAACGTATGCAAAAATCTATAGAAACTGCTAATCGATGGATGGAGAATGCTAACAACAGCCGTTATGTGTGTATGTAACGTTACAGTCCTAACCGTTTAATGGCCACGCCACAAACTCGCAAGTTTACCGTCCAGACTACAAGGAACGGATTGTATGTACTAGCCAAGGGCTATGTATGTACGCAAAGTTACAGTCGTGACCGTTTCTCAATCACACCATAATTGCTCCAACTCACGGTAGTGATTACAAAGAACGGATTCTACTATGGAAGAAAATACATATGTACAGCAATAATGGAAGTTGTCGCGCAGCACAACAAGTATTGTTGTTAAATAA